CCATGAAAATCATTTATCAGAGGGTCTGGCACATGATATGTATGTGGCATGGAGAAGGCTCAGTACTCATAGTATTTACGCCTTTTCATATTTTCCAAATGTTCTATAATGGGCTACTTTATTTTTGTAATCAGGAAACAAAACATAATAAACACCAAACCAACATTTTATTAATAAAAAGGAATAATTTTTAAAAACTCTCTTGTATAACCAAAAAAAAAAAAAAAAAAAAGGATAGGTTCTGATGATGTTTCTACAAATATCACCCTGAAATTACAATTTTAAGACTTCATATTGTCAAGCTTAAGAACAAGTAAAAAGTACCATTAAATCAGTGCAAGAATGTAATTTCCCCAAAGACATTGGAATAGAAATTCTATCTTTTGTGCTTTAGTCAGAATAAAAGAAACCCTATGAAATGTTTCAAAGCAGAATTTATTATTACAGCAAAAGTTCACTTCCTAGAAATGAGATCATTATATATTTTATAAAAAAGCATATGGGTTTTGAGAGAAGTAAAACTTATTTTTCTTAAGCAACTATAACAACTGGGAAGGTGTGTTAAAATACATAAAGGGGCCATTATGGAAAAGGAAAAATAGCAGGGTAGACACCAGTGTACAATTCCAGTCCACCGCCATTGTGTTTTTCATCACTGTGAGCTTCCTAAAGGCAAGATCTGTTATTGTTTGTTTGGTTTTTAAATCTCTCTCTATGATGTTCATTTACTATATCAAAAAATGTTTTCCTATTAACCAGTTGATCTTGGCTGAATCACAGTCTAATTTTTAGAAGTTAAAGAACTTTTAATCATTTCATAAATGTTTATAAACTATAAGTATTTGTAATATTACAAAATCCAATATAGCTTTATTATGTTTTATAATACTCTATAATAAACTGTTCTAAACTGTTTATTGTAGAGTATTTATAATAAATACAATAATAAACTGTATTATTTATAATATTTATAATACTCTATAATAAACTGTTCTAAAACTTATTTCTAATATCCCTAGTCTTAAAAAGATTAATGAGATATAGTAAGATAGCCTACCCACAGAATTAAATGAACAACAGTAATCAAAATACTAAATTAATATGAATATTACTGGTTATTAGCAGATCATATTAGTTTAAAACATGACTAATGGGATGTTCAACCATTAGTCTTCTTTAAAATGACAATACTTAATAACTTAGTATTTTACACATTCTTAAAAATGCATAAAGTATAAAACCTTAGCTCCTTGTTTTGTTGTACAGTTTATGTTGGCTACTTTACACAAATGACAAAACCAGAAACTAGCAATAATCATGCATAAAAACTGTAATGCCAAACCAATATTCAAGCTGGGATAAAGATGAGTGGAACAGAGTCAAAGCTGTAAAGGTCAATACTGTATAATAATTTTAGCAGTGTTTAAAATGAAAAATCCTTCCTTGGCTTATGGGTGACAATTCATATTCATTCTCTGAAAATATCTTCAGTTTTTTATTTCTTTAAGACATATGAACATAAAGCAAATCTCCTAATCAAATATCATGTCTGAAATAAAGGATCCCCTCCCAGCCTCTCATCATTTAGACATTATTTTAGACACTCTATAGATAAAGTTCTTTTTTTGTTGTTATTGATTTTTCACTTATTATTTTTTAACTAAAAATCATATGCTCATTATTAAAAAACAAGTATAGAAACATAAAGTAAAATGCAAATGATCTTTTTAGTAATTTTGATCCTGTTTTCTATACATGCAAACATTAAAAATCAAATGTGGTAGTATATGTTTTATGCACGTATAACCTTTTAAACATAAATACATTTTTACAGGCATATAAATGTGCTAAAATTCTTGCCAAATTCAAAAGAAATTTGACCTTCAAAAAATTCTAGTTTCTAGTCTTTATGTTTGAAAAAAATTTAGTACATAATTTAAGGTGCAGAATATACATTTCCCTCATGTCATTATTTAAAAAATATTAAGATAAATGTGTAGTCATCAATGGCAGATATTCTGAGGAATTTCTAAAGGATATTAAACAGTAAGTAATACTAAGAAAATAGTCAATTAGTGATGATCAGATCAGAGTCAATGTAGCAAGAGCGGATGCATTCCTCAGTGGACCATTGAAAAACCTTTAACCTCAGAACTGTGACAGCCGAGAACAAGGGCAAGCTACAGTATCTGGGAGAACAAGGACCAACTAAAAGATTCCTGGAACCATTGTGCCAAGGCTCAGATGGGGTCTACCTTAGTTACTAGGAGGTTCTTGCTAACTAAGTAAAGTAGGAGATTTGCTGGGATTTCTCAGCAGTGTCCTAAATAATTTTAAAGTATTGCCAAAAGGGAAAAAAAAAAGGTCAAGCCTCTGAACCCACATGGTGAGATAACACAAAAGGCTCAGGAAAGCTGTGAGAATGTCTGATAAGCTCTGCCTCCCTTCTCTTCTACCTACTGGGAAGCATTCTGCTCAGACTCAGAGAATCAGATGACCATGGTGGAGGACATATAATTCAGGGACTCTTAGAGTATTTTTGTTAGCGATGATCACAGAAGTGGATAAATGCACTGAGCAAAAAATACACTTCAAACTAGATAAGGGATTCAGACCAAGATGGTGACAGAAGTTATTTCCTCTGCTCCAAGAGGGACACTATACCCAGAGAGTCTTGTGGCTTGGGGAGCTACTAAAACACTCTTTGCATAACAGAGACCAATACAGAAGGCAGAGGAGAAGAAGAGATAGCGAAAAGAGTCACACTTCACTGAAGAGGAAATGACTTGAGACAAATTCCTGGAGTCTGGGCTCACAATAGGAGATATGGACAGTTGGGTTGGCAGCTGAGCCAGGAGCTGTGGGTGGTAAAGAGCTAAACCATGTGGAAACACACACTCTTGACTGAGGAGAAACAAATGCAGAGGAGTTGGGGTACAGTCCACAGGCAGGGTGTTGGTAAAAACAACAAGGACAATGTAGTATACTGCATTCCCCCTACTCCACCTATCAGGACTGGTACTAATCTCATGCAGTGTGCTCACAGTGCCCAGAATTTAGTGTGTCAAATCTGGAAGCTCAGAAAGAAAGGTATAAGTAGTGCCAAAAACACCAGCCAATCCCCATCCTCCAGCATGTTACCACCAGTGGCAGAACCTCTCTGGGCCACTCCACCATCATCTGACTCAGCATTGAAAGAAAGAGGACTCAGTATCTATGGAAGTCAACAATGACCAAAAATATAAAACCAAATGAAATAAAACAAATATGCCACATGTAGTAGGAATAGTTCAATCCTCTAAGTGACTACTACAAATATATTTCTAAAATAGAGAAATCTAAAGCAGCAAAATGGGCAAATAAAAAGTTATATCATATATCACCTTGAAATCTCAAGGGAATATGGGATCAGAGGGGGAAAACAATTCTTCAGAATCCAACAAAACGACATGGAAGATTTCATTTTCCTGTAAGATAAAGAGCACAAGATGCTAAAGAGGCACAAGAAAACACAGAGGACATGTCAAAGTGACTCAAGAGAACTCAAAATTTAATCAAAGAGATAAAAAAAATTCAGAAAAAAGAATGACCTGAGAAATAAAATTCATGAACACAAAATTGAAATTGAAACTTTAAATTAGAAAATAACAGAGATTCAGAATGTACGGAGCTCAATAGATAAGATTCCACAAAAAGGTATGGAGACAGATTAGACCAAATTGGAGACTGAGTCAATGACTACAAAGTTAGTAAGATACAAAGGATCCAGGTGCAAAAAGAAAAAAAATATGAAGTAAAAAAAATAAAACACTTCAAGAACTATCCTACTCCAGTAAGGAAAAAAGCACAAGGATAATAGGCATCCCAGAAGGTGAAGAGAGAAAGAGTGGAACAGAGAGCCAATTCAAAGAAATAAAGGAAAATTCAAGGAGGGAGAAGGACCTAAATATTCAAGTCTATGAAGCTAAAACAACACATTGATATCTAAATGTAATGGGACCTATAAGACCCAGACCAATAGTTCAAGAAAGAGAAAGAATATTGAAGTAAACAGGGGAGAAACAAGTAGGTAACTTGTAAAGATAATTCCATCAAACTTTCATTTGATTTTTCAGCCGTATTGCTATGGGCAAGGAGAGAGTGGAGTAACATATTCAAAATACTCAAAGATTAAAAACTGTCAACCAAAAATACTGTATTTTGCAAGACTCTCTTTTAGATATGAGGGAAAAAGAAAGGCCTTCACAGACAAACAAAAGCAGAAGGAATTTGCCAACACCAGGCTTCTCTATAAAAATGTTGAAAGCAGCTCTCCTATGTAAACTGAAGAGAAGGAAATCTACAAAATACTGAATAAGGAAACAGATGGTACCAGAAAATGAAACACGTATAGTAGTAGAAAGCCCCCATATACAACCACTCTTAATGTAATTACAATGAATCCACCAATTAAAAGGGACAGCGTTGCCATCTCTACTTTCCTCCTCTAAGAGCCTCCATTACGAAGAGATGGGGATGGATGTTATATAATGATTAAGGAAAAGCACTTATTGAGAGGACATAACACTCATTAATATACATGCACCAAATGAGGGAGGCTCAGAATATATGAAAAAACTATTAAGCATAAAAAGATATTAACATCTATACAATAGTAGTTGGGGACTTCAACACTCCACTTACACTAATGGACATATCAATCAGACAGAAAATCAACAAGCAAACAACCAAATGAAATAAGACACAGAGAGAAAGACAAATACTAGATGATTTCACCCATATGTGAAATATAGAGAAACAAAACAAATGAACTAACAAAATTAAACCAAAACAAAGCAAACAAAGTGGGGAGAGGGGTCCAGTGGGGTATGGTGGTGGATGTGGTGTGGTGATGTAAATCTGAGGAGTTGTGAACCTTTGGAATCAAGACAGTGCTGTAAACCAATGTTTCCTGAATAAAAATAAATACATGTTAGTAATAAATCGTATAAAATACTCACCAATGACTTTAACAAAATAAGCATCTGCTTCAAAGTTGTTTTTTAGTGTATGGATGGCAAAATCATTCTGTGTATATCCTTTACTTAGTACTACAATGTCCAAGATTCCCTAAAAAAAACCAAAACACCCAAATATAAACATAAAATGATAGGAACACAGTCCTCGATCAAATGAAGAAATGGTGATAATACATGGCATGTTTATTATGTAAGTATTATACACTCACTTGATATTTAAATTAAAAATATAATTTAAAAATATATAAAGCCATGGATAGTTTAATATGAAAAACACACGTAATTTTAATCTCTGGAGGTAACGTTAGTATTTTGGTATATTTCTTACCAGCCATAATTGCATGAATTTTTGAAGGCTTATGATATGGACAGCCAAACTGTTTCCAACCACAGAGATGGCAGTAACTTATCATGTTATCATGCTTTTTTTCCTAAAAATTTTGCTAATTTTATTTGAGGGCAAAGGTGACCACCTGTGCCACCAGGGGAGGCTGCAATGGAAATTTTTGATGACTTATCTCAGTTAGCATATGCTCTTCTTAATAGTAAGAGTATTAATTATTTGACTTTTTCCATAGCATATTCATTTCACAGAATTAAAAAAAATTTTAATTTCACTTATGATGCTTTGGTGTATAAAAATGAAAAACTGATTTGCAGTCAATACTCTTGATTGAGATATTTCTGTCAATTATTTTTATGCTTAGAAACTGCTAACAAAAAATAAAATAACAAAAAGTGAAAGCAGAGAGACAGGAAAATAAGGACTCAGAAAATTCATAGAACTGAGAATCAGCTTTTTCCATGAAAACCAAACCAAACCAAAAGTGGGAAGGAGACAGAAAAGTCCTGATTGGCATTTTACTTTTTAAAATAATTAAGTTCTTTTACAAGGATATACTGTAATATATTCAAATTTAACATGTTATCATTAGAATTCATTATTTTTCTATGCGGTTAATTGGCTTTTCCTATTTAGAAAGGAGGAAACCAGGTTCCTGATTGCCTTTCACCTGGCAACTGAAGAAAGAGTCACAGGAATTGGGGCATTAGATGCTACTTCTGGTTCACAAAGTTAAGAGAGGGACTCTTCTATGATCTCGTGAAGGTTCAAGGACCTGTTATTTGTACTTTTGTCCACTGGTGCACACACACACACTTGCCAGTCTCAGAGCATGATTCTCTAAGGACTTAATCTAAGTAAGTACAAAATGAGATAAAGGCACTTTCATATTTCATTGTACTGATAAGTTGGCGGTTTCAATGAATATGTTCCCTCTGCCATTTAACATTAAAGGGGGCTTTCTTCAATTAGCCCATTTGTTTTCATTATCTCATCTACAATTTCTGGTCAATTAGGGTGAAGTGAAAGTGAGACAAGGTAGAGATGGTAATTAGATTCCAAACACATGGGAGAGCTCTGAACTCACATCTTCGTAAATGTCAAAGAAAGTGGCAACCACAGCATCTCTGATTTGATTTAGGTCTGTTAGTTCCCAGTAGACTTTAAACATACGATGTGCCCCCTCACAGCTTGCATTGTTACAAGGGGCATTTTCCAGCAAGAAGGCCTGCTGATTGCTGTAAGACAAATGAAATACATTTATTAATACATCAATAATGTGAAGCATCAGCTATGCAGTATTTCCTAGACTCAAAGTGATGGTAAATGGTATACTGTAAAGTGATATGAAAGAAATCCACATCTTATTATTTTTTCGGTTATGAAAAACTTAGATTGTTGACTATCCTTTGTCAGCCTTTGACAAACATTATCTGAGTATAATGATTTGCTGATCTTTCTCTCCTTTATGTGGGTTCCCAAGTCTGTCCTTCCTCCCTTGCTATTTCTCAACTGTCCACTCTGTGTTCCATCACTGGGTGTCTGGACACTGTCATTATTCCTTTGGCTGTAATACCTTAGACATATTTTCTTTATAATTGGAGACTCCCAATAAACCCCTAGTCCTGCAAGGCCAGTGCAGTGAATCTATGATAGAATGCCAGCTTCCCAAACAGGCAGTAGGGTAGATATTTTTCAGCCCCTATCAGATAAAACAAATATTGTACTTTGCATACTATATAAAGTCCTCACTCTTGAATACTACTTAACAGGCAAAGTGGTTATGAGTTTAAGATTCTGAAAGCAGATTACCAGGATTCAATCCTGATTCTGTCATTCAGCAGCTATGTGGTTTTGAATAAGTTATTTAACCTTTGAAGACTCAAACCTTATTTGTAAACTGAAGAATAACAGTTACAGGAGAGTTGAAAGTAAAATGAAATACTGTATATAAAGTACTTAGAACAATTCCTGTCATACAGTTAGATCTTTGTAAAAGTGTTTGTATTTCATCATTCTTATTTATGAAGTGCTGCTATGTAAAAATATTTCATTTATAGAACTTTTAAAAATAGTATAGTTTTATGTGGTGGCTTCTATTGATAGGCATTTTCTATTATACACATTCCTTTACTTCCTTCTATGTACATAGAAAATAATAGACTAAAGGGCTTAAATTTCATAATTGCTAATTTTTTTCTAATAATTATTGGAAATAAAACGATAAAGACAGGTTCCTTTTATTCCACATGAAAATATTACTTTGGGTCTGGACAATTTGGAAAAGAAAACCACCCTTTATTTTAAGAAAGAAAAATTTCTTAGTGCTCAATACAGTAAGGAAACCTACATACAAAATATTTGATTTTAACAGTGTACTAAACATATGATTGGCTTCAAATTATTTTTCTAGATAAAAAATTCTAACACAAATAGTTTATAAGAACTATTTAACAAAGGGGAAAAGCTCCCAGATATAATATTTACTTGGAAATCTTTGAGGAGACTTTGCTCAAGACCCAACACATAATAGTATTCTTCCAATAAAAGGAATAATGATTTATCCTTTGTTTCATATTTAATAACTGATTTTAAAATTTTAATTTGTAATATACTTCCCAGGCAATTTACTCATCTTACTTATAAAGCTAACAATTTCAATAGGTACTTCACAGAAATGAAGATTATATTATTTTGTTATTATGAGATTATATAAAATTATGACATGTGATAAAGACAACCTTTCTACAGTCTTCTGTAATTGATGCATAATATTGATCAGCCTTTTGAGTGAACATGTGCCACTGACTTCTCTTTTCAAAGCTAATGCACTGATTTCATTATTATACTAATTCAGCCATAATTTCAAATTACAACACTCACTGTAGTTACACAACTTAAAATGTCATTTTAATTTTTTATAGGAGTTTGTCAAGATTATAAATGCTGGGCATCAAAGATTCTTGTCTTAGTGTTTACTAACTACCTTGATTGTGCACTATATAAACTTATATAGACTTGAGGTCTATAAAATTTTGGTTCTTTTACGTTTCAGTGAGACCTATAAGCAGAGCCCAAGATCTTACGTTTAAAATTAAAATTCCAGGGCCTCCCCGGTGGCGCAGCGGTTGAGCGCTGGGTTGCGAAGCTGCCCGAAGCCTCCGCGGTGCCGGTTCGATCCCCGGCTGCTCCCCGGCCACCGGAGGAGGGTCCCACATGGCGCGCAGACCTCTCCTGCCCCCCGCTGCTCCCCTGAGCAGTGTACTTCGGTCCTTCTGCCTGCTCTGCTCCCCGCTCTGGCTCTGGTGAATTCTCTCACCCTCCCGCGCTTCTGACTGTACCCAGTGCTTGTAAAAATAAATAAATAAATCAATCTTTAAAAAAAAAAAATTAAATTAAAATTCCACATAAACCAAGGAAGGAAGAACCTTGATTTATATGGTTTGGAAAACTTTGCTTCTTTTGAGCCAGTTTCTCCATGTGTTCATCAATATATATTTTAAAACTACGATGAAACTATTACAAATGTTATTATAAAATTTAAGAAATAGGGACATTTCAAATGGTGAAATCCTTCCTTTCTAGGGATAAGCACTGTTAAGTTGGTGTGCATCTTTCAAACCTTCTTTTAGCAACATATAAGTACAGCTATATCCTTAAAAAACAACAACTAGGTTCTACTACAAATATTTTTCTGCAACTTCCTCTTCCCGCTCAATAATATATGCATGGGGGTAAAGTGGATGAAAGGGCATGTAGTTTGAATAAGGATTTTTGATATCTATTTTGAGAATTCCCCCCCAGATACATTTGTATCTCCTAGCAGGAGTTAATCAAATTGTCTATTTTCTTTCTTTCTTTTTTTTTTTAAATAAATTTTATTTTTATATTCCCCATACAATTGCAACCCCCTTATTTTGACCCCAATCCCTCCCCTCCCCACTCCCCACCCCCCATAGAGTGTCTCTGGTTCATAGTTTTTTGTCAATTTTGATTTTCACTTTCTTATACACCATGGAATATTACTCAGCATTCAAAAAAGATAAACACATGCAGTTTACAGCAACATGGATGGAGCTGGAAGGGATCATGCTCAGCGAAATAAGCCAGAAAGAAAAAGAAAAATACCAGATGGTCTCACTCATAGCAGGAATCTAGAAAACTTAAATAAGGGACCAGGAAAATGAATAACTATAACAAATTGCCTATTTTCCAGCACACTCTTCCTTTTCAATAGCTAAGCCATCATTTGTTTAAACATCCTGCTATTGATAGTCAAGTTGTCTTTATTTAAATGTCCTTCATTGAAAACACACATGATAAATGAAATAAGAAAAACAAACACTGAGCCATCCCTAGTCTGGGTAAAAATCAAAGGGAGCAGGAAGGCCATTGAGAGCCAGTTACAACTGCAGTTGCAACACTATAGCTTTAACAAGGCTGCTACAACTAAGAGCTGACACTATTGCTTATGTCAGAGTTACAACTTGACCAGACTTGGGTACTGTGGTCTACATGTTTAAAAATTACTTTTCCTTGGGCATTTGTATGAAGTTTTCCATATGTTAGTTATCTGGTCAAAGGATATGCATATTTTAAATGTCAATAAAGATAAATAACCCTCTAAAAAGTGTAATAATTTACACTTCCAGTAGTGCATGAGTATATCCTCCTTCATATCTTGTCAGTATTATCATTGTTCTTTATTTTTCCCAATTGGGTATTTTAAAAATTATCTATTTTTCTGATGAGAGAAGCAGAGTATTACTTTTATGTTTATCAGCTATTCATGTGTCTTCTGAGAATTGGCACTTAATTTTTTTAATTGTTGATTTTTAGGAGATCTCTGAGTGTTAGGTACATTAGTCTCTTACCTGTTATTCTCAAATAGTTATCTGTAAAATGGAGGCAAAAATACTACATCACCTCAAATGGCTGTTGTAAGGGTGAAAAGAAAAAATACATACTAGAAGGTTCAGACTAGTGCTTGGTACACAGCATAGCATACATTCAATACCTGTTGTTATTAGTTTTTTGGTGTCCTTCACTAAAAGGTTTAAAATATTAATATAGCCATTTATTTATGTCAATATCTTTTTTTAAAGATTTATTTATTTATGGAAGAATTGGGGTACAGGTCAGAGGCACGGGAGGGTGAGAGAATTCACCAGAGAGAGCGGGGAGCAGAATGGGCAGACAGACCGAAGACACTGATGAGGGGAGCAGCGGGCAAGGCAGGAGAGGTCTGCCATGCCATGTGGGTTTCTCCCTGGCAGGCTGGAATCGAACTTGCACTTCAGAGGCTGAGGACAGCTTCACAGCGCAGCGCCCAACCCTCTCTGCCACCGGGGAGGTCCTCTTTCTTTCTTTCTTTTTTTAAAATAGCATTACAAGAAGTGTTAAAGAAAGTCCATCAGGTAGACGGAAAAGAATACTAGATGAAAAACTACATTCACCCAAAGAAATTAAAGGCAGTAAAAATGTTAAAATAAAAACTATTTTTATAGTTAATTTTTTAAAGATAATTGAAAATTAAATAACATACTGTGTGTTCTGTTTGGTAGCATAGGTAAATACAGCTGACTTTTGTTTATTAATCTTGTGCTTCTACCTACCTAAACTTTTGGTAGGTATTATAGGATTTTCTAAATAAATGGTCTAAGAGCAATCAAAAATTGCAGTAAGAAAGTGTCAGTGATAACAGCATAAAAATGAAATACTTAAGTGTCTGACAAAAGATGAGCAAAATATGTACATTCAAAATAAAGCAATACTAATAGAGTTTTGTAAATAAAATTAAACAATATAACTTGTCATATATAAATTATATACCTATAATTAAAGAACACACACAATGTTCATGGATCTGAGGACTTAGTACTGTTAAGATGTCAATTATCCCCAAATTGATCTACAGATTAAATGTAATATCTATCAAAAGCACTTTTTTGGGGCAACTGACCAACTGATGCTAAATTTCATTGAAAATATCAAGAACCTAGAATAACAAAAATAACTTTTGCAAAGAAGAATAAAGTTGGAGTTACACTATTCATATGAAACAACAGTAATCAAAACATTGTAATGCTCCTGCAGAGCTGGAGAAAAGATGATTGGAAGAGAGTAGGGAGTAAAGATATGTATGGCTAGTTGATTTTCACCAAAGATCAAAGGAATTGAATGTAAAAAGGAAGTCTTTCAACAAATGGTGCTGAAATGACCAAAAAGTGAATGAAAA